CCGTGGTTGGAGGCAGGGTGACCCGAGGAAGCCCCCAGAGGCCCCCAGAATACGCCCAGGAGGCCTCCAGAAGGCCTTAAGAAAGCTTCAAACCATTTTTTTAGGCCCACAGAGGCTCTCCCAGGAGGAGCCTCCGCAAAAAAAAGCTGAGGAGGATAGGGAGAATGCGCAGGGTATGGCGAACATGAGGAAAAAGAAGCATGGAGGAAGGATAACGAATAACATTATTATAGCGGCGATGCCGGAAAAGGCAACAAGGAGTTATCGCTAAATTCTCTGCTTGACCTTCCTGCTATTCCTCCTGCACACCAAATTTCAAGGACCAAGGTGCATGGCGCGAAGCGCCAACGCAGTCATGTGTATTTATATTCATATAGAAACAACAAAAACGTGTGTGTATGTATGTATGTATATATATATTTATATATATATATATATATATATATAATATATTTACACATGAGATTGCAGTGGCGCTCCGCGCCATGCACCTTGGTCCTTGAAATTTGGTATGCAGGCGGAAATGGCAGGAAGGTCAAGCCGACAAATTAGCGATAACTCCTTGCTGCCTTTTCTGGCATCGCCGTTGTAATAATGTTGTTCGTTATCCTTCCTCCATGTGTGTTTTTCCTCATTCTCGCCATACCCTGGGCATTCTCCCCATCCTCCTCAGCTCTTTTTGCGGAGGCTCCTCCTTGGAGATCCTCTCGGGGCCTCACCAAAGTCCTCGGGCTTTCTTAAAGCCTTCTGGAAGCCTCCTGGGTGTGTTCTGGGGGCCCCTGGGGCTTCCTAAGGCCAACCTGCCTCTAACCGCGGTCTCCCTGAGCGCCCCAGTCACGATTTGGAATGCTTCGGAGGGTGTCTTGGGGCCATCTTGGGCCGCCATGGGGCTCTCTTAGGGCCATCTTGGACCCGTGTTGTGCCGTTTTGGGGCTCTCTTGGATTGCCTGGAAGCCCTTTCGGATGGTTGCAGGGCGATTTGGGAGCCTCCCAGGCGGCTTCGGACGCCCAGGAGACCGCCGTCTTGGAGCGTCGGGAAGCCGAAAAGAGGAGAACCCCAAATGCACAAAACACCTGCATAAAATCAATGATGTTTCCCTCTTGGGGCCTTCTTGGGGGTGCTCTTGGAGGCCCCTTGGTACGTTTTGGAGCGATCTTTCGGGGTATGACGGCTTCTTGGAGCGCTCTTGTGCTGTCTTGGGGGTCTTTGGGACGTCTCTGGTGACCCCCCTGATCGCCCTGGGTGTGCTGCGAAGGCTTGGCGAAACGCCCTGCGAGGCCCGGAGGGCCGCTTCGAGGCCCGTCCAGAGGGTGCCAAAGCCCCAGATCCCGGGGACCTGGTTTTAGGGGGGGGGGGACGGGTTTTCCCCCCGCCCAGGCTTATAAAAATATAGGAAGGGGAATATCTATATCTATGCGTGACCCCTGGGCCTCTCTCGACCCCTTCCTGGGGGCCGATTTTGCGTCCCAGTTGCTAGAGGATGTCTCTGCTCCCTACAGCGGGCCCCCAGAGGCCGAAGTCGTGGAACAGTCACGACGTCGAAGGTCCAGCCCAGGTCGGGGGTTTATCCCGTGCCACCTGTCAATTACGCCGCGTCACAGGTTTCTGTGCGCGGGGTGAATGGGTCTTCCTCTTTCTGATCCTCCTCCCCCTTCCCCTCTTCCCCCCCCCTCTACAGTAGGCGCGCCATATCAGAAACCGGCCTGCCAGCAGGACCCCCGCAGAAGTTTATCATCCCCCCGATGACCCTGGAGGCCCACCGAAACTCGAGGGCACCGTAGGACCCTCCGAGATCGACTCATAATGTTTTGCAAGATGTCTCATGCCAAGATTTCCAGTCGTTTGTGCCCGGTGCCTGCCGTGCCCGAGAAGGCACACTCAGCTCGAGGTCGCCCGTGGTCTGGGCCGCAGAGCTGCAGGCGGGCGCAGCGCGAGGGCACGCAGGTGCCCTCGCTTCGCGCCCTCGCCGCCCCAGAGGCGCGCTTGGATCTCGAGCCGACGTCTGACTGCCCCGGGGCCTGCATCGGCCATGCGCAGAAGAGGGGGGTAGGGGAAGGGGGGAAGGCGTCTTAGAAGCACCCCCTGCTTCTCAGAAGGCGCGAGCCCTGCCTGCGGATGCAGGGCCGGCGCCTCCCGAGGAGCAGAGCCTCCTTCTGAGAAGCCCCCCCCATCCTCTCTTTCCCTACCCTTAAATCGGGCCTGTCCCTCTACAGGGGGAACATTCAAAAATGGTAACAAAAATAGTGTGGGGACTATTTCTTTTTTTTTTTTTTTTTTTTTTTTTTTTTTTTTTGTAATTTTGGAGCCTTGTTTGACTATTTATTTTCCGTCGAAAATCCCCCTGTAGGGGGACAGGCCCGACCTGACCCTACCCCCTTGTGCCCGTCGCCAGCCAGAGGTGCTCCCAGACGCCGAAGCAGACGAGGCGATGCTGGCTCGCGCTTCTCGAGGTTCCAGAGAGGTCTTGGGTGCTCTCGATCGGCGCGGGGTCTCGAACTC